AATCACTCCTGTCTCTTCCCCAGTTTTCTTTGTCCAGTGGCTTTCTCCCTAGTTTAAAATACCTTCCTGGGTCTGGAGGTGCACACCTATACTTCCAGGTCTCAGGAGGCTGAGGCAGAAGCTCTTGAGTTCACGGGCAGCCTGTACTACAATAGCCAAATCCTGCCTCTGGTTATATATCTCTATTTCTAATCTCTAATGGTCTCTAATCATCTCTAATCGTCTCTAATCTCTATCTCTGTCTGTCTGTCTGTCTGTATCGCTTCACTGTCATTTAGGTCAGTGAACCATTTCCAGCTGGGATTGTAGTCTCCACTAATTGTTTTTGTCATTTCTCGTCAGTGCCTGTGGCTGTGTACCAGACTTTTTCTTTTAGGCCACCAATCAGCTCCCAAATCACGACACAGAGACTTAATTAGTTTTGAATGCTTGGCCTAGCTTAGGCATGTTTCTGGCTCGCTCTTTCAAATTAACCTGTTTCTATTTATCTACCTGTTGCCTTGGGACTTTTTACCTTCTTTTGGGATATCTTACTTTCTTTCTTTCTTTTTTTTTTTTCCGAGACAGGGTTTCTCTGTATTGTTTTGGAGGATGTCTTGGAACTCTCTGTAGACAAGGCTGGCCTCGAACTCACAGGGATCCACCTGCCTCTGCCTCCCGAGTGCTGGGATTAAAGGCATGCGCCACCAAGCCCGGCGGGATATCTTATTTTCACTGCTTCTCGTGTCTGCTGGCTGGCAGCTGCCTGGCCCTGGGCATCTCCCTTGTTCTCCCCTGTCTTCTCCATCTTGTCCCTCTCAAGCTTAGATTCTCCTCCTCCTTATTCTCTCTCCCTGCAGGCAGCCCCGCCTATCCTTTTCCTGCTTAGCTATTGGCTGTTCAGCTTTTTATTAGGCCAATCAGGTGCCTTAGGCACGCAAGGTGAAACAAATGCAACCCGACTTCACATAATTAAACACACGTCCTTACATTGTTAAATAAAAGCAGCATAAACAAACGTAACACGTTTTTGCCTAGTTAAAATAATATTCAAGGCCAGCCTGGTCTCCAGAGTGAGTTCCAGGACAGCCTCCAAAGCTACAGGGAAACCCTGTCTTGTAAAATTAAAAAAAAAAAAACCCACAATATTCCACAACAGGCATGGACTCCAAACATGCTTTACTGGCTTCTCTAGATCTGTTCCACTGGTGTTAAATCCTCTTTGTCACCCTCCTCTTTTTTTTTTTTTTTTGAGAAAGGGTTTCTCTGTAGCCCTGGATGTCCTGGAACTGGCTCTGTAGACCAGGCTGGCCTTGAACTCACAGAGATCCACCTGCCTCTGCCTCCTGAGTGCTGGGATTACAGGCGTGCGCCACCACTGCCACCACCACCTGATGTTGTCCTTTCATTCTTTCAGAACAAGTTCATGAGAGCACAACTCCTGGTACCCCATCGGTTTGTGAGCGCTCTCAATCCCACTTTTAGGCTTGAAGGATCATGGCTTAGGATACATTTGAAATTTCACCCCACTCTTTCCACTCCAGTTTCACCCATCAGTCTGATTTCCCCCCCTCCCCCACCAAACATTCCTCTCCTCCTCCTCTCCTCCTAGATTAATTCCTAGCAAACGACCACAAACCCGGCAGTATGTGGTCACATCACTTATCCCCTCTGAATAAATTCTAGAGTCTAGCAGTCCAAGCCCAGATGTGGGAGGGCCGGCCGCTGTGGGAGGGTGAGGGCTCGCTCACCAGCCCACCTAATCCTGCAGCTGCCCTTGGCATTCCTTAGTACAGAGCCTGTCACTTCACCCTGCCTCTCTGGTCACAGGCATTCTCTCTGTGTCCCTGTGCCTCTGTGTCCCAATCTCCTTCTCCTTATAAGGACACTCATTGCTGGTCTTGGGACCCACCCTAGCTTGGTGCCACCATATCTTAGCTTGATCACAACTGCAAAGGCTGCTTCCAAATAAGGTTGCAATCCCAGGTGCTGGTGGTTAAGGCCCAGGCATTACCCTTTGGGGGGACACAATCCATCCCACTCCAACCCTTTCACATTTTCAGATTTTTTTCCTCATCCCAGAGTAATTTCCAGCACTTAAGAGGGCAGAGAGTAGAGGCAGAAGGTTCAAGAATTCAAAACAATTATCAGCTGAGCCCAGCCTAGACCACATTGAGACTCTGTCTCAAAAACAAATACAAAATCCCAAACAAAGCAAAAAAAAAAAAAAAAACCCAAAGCAAGAAGAGAGTGTATATGTGTCTGTTTTATTTTACATCTTATTTATGTGTGGGTGTGTGGGGCCTATGACTGCCATGCCAAGCCTTCGAAAGGACGTCAGAGGTTAACTGCCATGGCAAGCCTTCGGAAGGACGTCAGAGGCTAACTGAATTGGTTCTCTCCTGCTATCATGTGGATCCTGGGGTTTGAATTCAGTTCTTTGGGCTTGGCAGCAAGTGCCTTTACCACTGAGTCATCTCCTTGGCCCCATTTTCCCTTTTAATCTGATAATTTTCTACTCAAGTTTTGGGATATTCTTATCTTCGTGTGTATGTGTGCATGCGTATATGTGGCACATATTTGTATATTTGTGTGTCTACATTTTTGTGTATCTGTATGTCAATGTGGTGTTTGTAGTTTATGTGTAGTGAGTGCAACCATATGTGGTGTATATGTATTTTGTATTGTGGTAGATGGGTCTTTGTGTGTATATGCATGTATCTATATTTTGTGTGCATGCCTGTATTTTTATGTAGTATAAGTATATTGTTATGTGTTTTTTGTATATGTATGCTGTATATGTTGCTACTTGTCTGTATGTAGCATATGTGTCTATGTATGGTATGTGGTACATATTGCTGTGTATGAGTATGTGGTGTGGATGACTCTCTGTGGCTGGTACCCCAACACCAGCTCCCGGTAGACCTGGTACAGGGATAGTAGTAGCATCTATGTATCCATCTTCCATATCTTTTTTCCTTGACATCATTTTCTGGATCTATGCTGGAGAAATCAATTTCTGGTCTCTGTCTTCCTCTCGGGAGCTCTTCACTTAACAATGCTACTTTGAGGTCTGCTTTTAAACCCACGTTTATTCCCACATCTATGCATGCACAGTGTCCCCTGGTTTTCCGGGATATCTCTAATGCTCAGGAGCCTCTGGTCACCCTCTCAGGGGTAGGAGCAGGGGCCGTTTCCTCCTTCAACTGAACGGCTGCTTCCTGTTTATTTTGGAGGGATGCCTGAATAAGGGCCGTGATGCCCTGGTCTTCATCCCAGATGTTTAACATGGCAAAGAAGCTCTGCCGATGGTGCTCAGCTCAGGAGCTAGAGACGGTCCTGGGTCTTCCCAAGAGTCTATGAGACGGAGGCAGGACGCCAGGGTGGGAGGGGAGCTGCTTCAATGGACGTGGACAGTAGAGGGGCTGTTACTGGCTTTGTAAATGGACAGAGGATGGGCCTGCGAGCAGAGAGGCGGGAAAACAGGTCCTCCCGGGCCCTTCCTCAGGAGAGCCTGCCGACACCCCACTGTCAGTCTGCGACACGCCCAGGGAATAACAAAGGTGTTCTGTGTTAAGCCAGTAAGTTTATGGTCATTTGTTACAGCAGTCAGAAAAAAACGGACATGACGATTTCACTGAGCTCAACTGTAGGCTGGTCAGTGTAGCAGCCATGCCTCCTGCTTGTGGTGGGAGAGAGGAGAAGTTTGGGGGACACTTTGGGGTTGCTCTTGGCCCCTCCTCAGAGGCAAACTATTCATAAACATAATATTATTTATAATGAACAATATTAAACACAATATTCTGAAGTACTGGGGACCCAGAACTGAGGATATGTTAGGCAGACACTCTACTACTGAACTGTACCCCCAAACTCTTCATGTTCATTAAAAACAAAACAAAACTGGAGCCATGTGTGGTGTTGGACATCTAATCCCTGTACCTGGGACACAGAGACAGACAGATCCCTATGAGTTTGAGGACAGCCTGGTCTACATGGCGAGACTACTGAGTGAAACCTTGAATCATAATAAATACATAAAAGGAATTTATGGCTCACAGCCTATTCTTGGTATTTGGGGGTGCAAGGCAGGAAAACCTTGACTCTGAGGCCTGTTAGTTCCCACCCCGGCAGCGGGCTGCCTCTGCGCCAAGGCGGTTTCATGGCGATCATGTGTTGGTGCTTTCCACTGTGAGCTATGGGACACGTGCACCCCTCAAAAGTGTCCGCCAGGCACAGTTCGCCCTCTTCCTCTCTTCCCCCTCTTGTCTCTTCCCTATTCTCTCTGTCTGTCGTCTGCCTGCCTCTCTCATGTCCCAACTCTGACAGCCTTTGACCTTTCCCTTGCCCCCTCCCCCCTTCCCCAGTAAAAAGCACTAACTGTTGCCTGAGTGTTGCTTAGTGGCTTACCTCGGCAGGGCCAGGGCCAGAAAGGTACCGGCTACACCTCTCTTTCCTCTTTAACCATTTCAAGGCCAAGCTGGGCCCGTCCTTTCTTCCCCAGCACCACCTCTGTGTAAGAGGATGGGGGACAGAGACAGAGTAACACCCGATGACAAGTTGGGTCTGGCAAGGTAACTCAGGAGGTAGAGGTGTTTGCTTCTAAGCCTGATGATTCAAGTTCGATCCTGGGGACCCACATAGTGGAAGTTGTCCTCTGTGGAATATATGATTATGCCCACACTCGCACGCACACACGCAAATAAATGTAGGGTAGGTGGATGGGGCGGGGGGGGGGGGAAGATGGCAACTGAGTAGGGATAAGCACCAGGGTACCCTTGGGTACCCATCTGCACCGGCTAGCACTGGAAAGGGGGGGAGGGCACCAGGCTGAGCCAGGAACAATGACCTCCCGCAGAACATAGCTCCTTCTGGGGGCCCCATCTGTCTCAGTTCCCACCTCCAACCTGGACCAGGATCCAGGCTTCACAGCACCCTCATCTGCAAACCAGTGTAGGTAAACACACCTTGCCAGAGGTTCTGCCCCTCCTCCTGACCCCGCCCATGCACACAGCCCCGCCCCCGGGAGGACCTGCCCTGCGAACCCCAAGGCCGTGGTGAGATCCAAGATCCGCTCCTACAAGCCGCTGAGCCCCCTTATGCCCACCCTTCCCTCACTAGACTCTGTACTGTGCTTGGGTGCTCCTTCAGCCTACACCCTCCTTCCTGATGCTCTCCACCGGGTGACAGTCAGAGCGCCATGACTGCTAAAACCAGGGGAGGGGAGGGGAGTGTGTACTGGGGGAGGTGCTTTCTTCCTCTAAAGCTGAGGCCGGATAAACCCTCAGGTGGGTCAGGAAGAGTGCACTTGCCAGCCACGCACTGGCTTTCAGGGACCAAGAGGACTTCCTAGTGGCCATGGGTCCTCTCGTGCCCCCAGGCGGTCAGCTGCCTCGGAGAAGCGCCAGGCCCTTTGGCTCCTTTGAGGTCTCAGATGCCAGCAGCGGCAGGAAACCGGTGGCCGTGTTTCCTGTGGGAGTTGAAGTTTTTCCCTGTGGATAAGCATTCTTTTCTTCAGTTTGTTTCTTGATCTGGGATCTACAAGCCCCCATCCCAACCCCGCCACCCCCACCCACCCCCACCCACCCCCACCCACCCCCACCACAAAGTATGTTGTTTTGAAACAGCATTGTTCTGAGATTTCAAAGCCAAGGTCATCAGTCAACACAAGGTTTTTTGTTTTTTTTTTTAATCCAACTATAATAGTAAAATCCGGGTGAAGTACACTGGGAAATTGGAAAAGTATACGAGATTTTTTTCTTCTTATTTACTTATTTGGTTTTTCAAGACAGAGTTTCTCTGTGTAACAGCCCTGGCTGTCCTGGAACTCACTCTGTACACCAGGCTGGCCTCGAACTTACAGAGATCTGCCTGCCTCTGCCTCCCGAGTGCTGGGATTAAAGGCATGTGCCACCAATGCCCGGCAAATACGAGATTTTAAAAGCTGCAATTGCTGTGTGGAGGTAAGAAGTCTTGTGGCATATTTTCCATCCAAAAGAATATTCACATTTATGTCAAATGCCGGAGGCCCTAAAACTGGACTTGACACTTAATGTTGCGTGCGTACATTCCTACAGGCCTTGTGAAACTCCATCCCACAGCTGGGGTCCTTTGCTCTCTGACCTTGTCCTTGGTATTGTGATACAGCGGTAGAAGGACACACTACCTCATGGTGAGGTGAATTGTCTGCCAGGACTCTGCTCTGCCTCTCACATTGATCTGGGAGACCCACTGGTCCCTTGTCCCTTGCAGCTCCACGGAGATGGAGAGTTTGTAGTCGCATTCTCCACCTGCCAGAGAGAGGAATAACTGGCCGGCACAAAGCCACTCAGTGGCCAAGTGGGAAGCCTGAGTAACTGGCAGAGAACCCAGGGGCCAGGAGCAGGGCGGGGTGGCTGGTAGCAGATCCAGCACCTCTGCCCTGGGAGTGCTCCCAACAGGGTTCTATCCTGACTTCCAAGGGAGACCTCATTTTGGACCTTTTCCCTGCCTGCTGGCCAGCAACTGCTGAGCTGTCCCAAGGACAATGACAGGGAGTCGGCTCTGCAGTCCACACACTCGTATACACAGACAGACAGACAGACAGACAGACAAACACACACACACAAACACATACCACACAGACACACACACACACACAGACAAACACATACCACACAGACAGACAGACAGACAGACACACACACACACACACACACACACACACTCACCTGGCCCAGGAGGTGGAGGTCTGCAGGGCAGCTGCCTCCTACCCCCTCCTAGTGTTCTCACAGAGAACGAGTTCTCTCACAGAGTTCCCACAGCATTCTCTTTATCTCCACAGTCTTCTCCAATCTCAGATAATTCGATCAGATCAAAAAATTCAGGAAGTAGTAAAAAACCACACAGAGGTCCCCAGGCTGCCCTTGCTCCAAACCCCAGGCAGGTCGGGGTTACCAGAATTTTGTTCCAGCACATGGGTCACACGGTGAGATGTCACAGGGTGTTTGGACAGACTACAGGCTACTCTAGCTGCTACTGGCCCACCTTGTCCAGTCCTGGGGCCTTGGTCTGCCAGTCGACGACTGAGAGCCACGCTCAGATCCCTAGGCCGAACTCCTTGGCCCTCATTGCCTTTCCCTGGACATTGGCTTCTCATACTATTTTACCTCTTGGCTTTTTAGCCTGGTCTCAGGGGTATAGCTGAGTCCTGGACCTCTCCTGGGGCACAGTCTATACCATGAAAGGGGTAAACTAAACTCAAAGGCTTCACTTCTAATAATTTAGAAATAAAGGGACCAGACCCTCACTCAGCCCCCTGCTTTAGCAGCCATGACAGGCTACAGAAAAGACAATTAGGCCTCTGACACAAGGAAACTCCAGATGCTCTGGCCTCCTGGAGCCTAGGGCCAAAACTGAACACAAAGAAACTCCAGACCTCCCCAGAAACTCCAGACCTCCCCGGCCTCCTAGATACTTGGTTCCTGGGAACTGTTTGGTCACAAAAGAAACTCCAAGGGAGACCAAAACCTCCCCTGTAGTCTCCAGGATACAATTCTGAAAACTATTCATATCTGTGTACAACAGGCCACCTGCAAGTAACAAGACTATGCATAGAAACTACAGAATGTTCCCTCTCAGCACTGACCAATGAAAATAATTGGTACACAGGTATTTCATGCCAAAATAGAACTTTGAGAAATTCTCCTGATTGTTCCCAAATGTCATCCAATCAGAAACCAACCCATACCTGCTGATGTCATCCTGTAACTTTTGTCTATAAAACCTAGCAGTAGTCAGAGAACTGCACTCCCTGTGGGGGCTGCTGCGACAGCTTGCTACACGGGGTCCCTGTCATGGGTGGATGAACAGTCATTAAGCCTTGCTTTTGCAGTTTAGTGGGTCTTCCTGGTGGTCTCTGGGGACTTTGAAACTTGGGCACAACACACCCCACAACCAGTGCCATTATATCTCGGTCTCCAGGCTGAGTGAACTAAAAGTGCCCAGAAGGTTTCGATGTGCTACGAGCAAGAAATCCGCAGATGCTCTGGTGTCGGAGGTTGATAACTTGACCCATCCCCTGAGGGCTGAAGAAACAGCACAGGAGACCAATAATAACAACTTTGAGGTCTGAGGAAGAGGAGCCTGCAGTGGCATTTGGAATCCTGACATCAGGCTGTGAGGCAGATAGGCGGCTGTGGGGGTTAGTCTCTGACAGCCATAATCCCAGGGAACAAGCAAATGCCAGCTGACAGCTGAGGAAGATGGGTTTTTTTTGTTGTTGTTCTGTTTTGTTTTTTATTTTTGTTTTTCGAGGCAGGGTTTCTCCATATTGCTTTGGTGGCTGTCCTGGAACTCACTCTGTAGACCAGGCTGGCCTTGAACTCACAGAGATCCTCCTGCCTCTACCTCCTGAGTGCTGCCACCAACACCCAGCAAGACAGACACTTTGCAAAATAAGAAGAGTGTGAGGAAACCTGTCACTGAGATGCTTGAGTTGGTTCTGACCTCTCCCTCTCTTTCCAGGATGGATTAAGAGGCTGAGCAACCTTGGGGGAAGAGTATGAAAGTTAACTCCTGAGAGAACCCATAGGCCTGCTCTCACCCTATGGAGGGGCCATCAGCAGTACAATTCAAATTTTTGACTGGGGTTCAGTGCTACCATCATGGCCTTTCAGGACCCCTTGGGTGACATAGTTCACTAAGAACTGAAGGGAGCCAATGAATGGATGCTGTGTGAGCACCCTAGTTTCCCTGAGCATAGGTCAAGTAGACCAGTGTATAGCACAATGTAGACCTGGTGAGACCATTCTACTGTATTATACCTCCAGCCTCTGGCACACAGTGGGTGACTCATATGTGAAGCCATTTGCCCAACAGCAAAATGTGCAGGCCCAAGGCCAAGGGACCCTGCAGCTACCAGCTTTAAGTTCTATGTTTCTTCAGTAGAAGCTTGATGGGGGGGTGTATATGTTTCTCCTATTGGTTGATGAATAGAACACTGATTGGTCAGTATCGAGGCAGGAAGTATAGGTGGGGCTACCAGACTAGAAGAATTCTGGGGAGAAGATGCAGGGAGGAGACACCAGGGAGACACCATGTAGCCACCAAAGGAATAACAGATCCAGGAATTCTCCAGTAAGCCAAGACTATGTAGAAATACTTAAGATAGTAGAAATGGGCTAATAATTAAGAGAGAGCTAGCCAATAAGAAGCCTGAGCCATTGGCCAAACTGTTTGTAATTAATATAAGCCTCTGTGTATTTATTTGGGACTAAATTACTGCAGGACCAGGCAGAAAAGAAACTTTTGTCCACAGAAGCTTTGTTCATAAGGGGACAGATTATATATAGGCTTGAAAGACCTGAAGTGGTCAGGCTGAATGCCTCGTGATATCCCGGGCTCAATAACCAGACAGTTGGATGCAATCTGCAAGAGGTTTATCTTTTACACAGGCGTCTGTGGGCACTCCAGCAGCTTTAGCAAGCTGAGAGCCCCGGGCTTTAGGACAGTTTTCTTTTTATGTACATAATTTTGGCAAGCAAAGCAATAGGGGTATTGTAAAAAGCGGAGCTACTGCAGGTGCAGATCTGGGCAAGCAATAGGGATATTGTAAGAAGCGTGGGCATAACTCATCTTTCCTGGAGAAACCACAAGGTCAAAATCGAACTTATCTTAACAGCCTGTCGGTGTCCTGCATCAGCACTCTGGACCAGATGTTCTTTTCAATTAGATCTTGTTCCCTGTCTAGGGGAAGGGACCTTGGGGAATTTTCCACTGAGGCAACCTTCTGAATCTCAAAAAGGGGGGTTGTATTGAGGTTTTTCAGACTAGATACTGAAACTGAGGCTGTGGCTTCCATGGCTTTGAGGAAGGTGTGTGCTTATTGAGTACCTGAGTTATTTTCCACATTTCCCAGGGATCCATTAGGAGGATGTGCCTTTTCATTCTGGTAGACCAGATGTCCCTCTGGCTATGATCTCCTTCAAACCCTCTCTTTGCACCCAGTACAGCTTCTGCAGAGGAGGGGAACATCTTTACACACGGGAACAAGACTTTCCAGAAAGATATGCTGGCATCTGCTGTACAAACATTTGTGTGTTTGTACAACAAAGCAAATATGATCTGAGCATAAGAAGAAATAAACTGAGCCTCTCCGCAGAACAAAGGGACCTGGAGTACACAAATGCCATCATTTCTCAGGAGCAGTGTGGGGGGGAACAGCATAATAGAATACAGCCAGTGAAGTCCAGTCCATAGATGCTCACAGAGCAAGAGGCATGATTCCTATCACAACTAAGTGGGGCTTACAAAAGCAGAAACCATCACGACAGGTGAGAACTACCAAGCCCCTGATTTGAACAAAGTGTTGGCAGTCTCACAGGGGAAACCATAGATGTAGTTATGAAATTTAAGCACTGTACAATGGGTATGGGTGGCACATTCCCATAATCCCAGATAAACACCAGCATCCTTCCCTCCCTCCCACCCTCCCTCCCTCCCTCTCTCCGCCCCCTCCTTCTCTGTCCTCCTCTCTTTCGCTCTCTCCTTCCCCCTCCTTATCTCCTCCCTTCCTCTTTCTCTTTCTTCTCTCTCCCCTTTTCCTCCTCCCTTCCCTTCTCTCTGTTCTCCTTCTCCTTCCCCTCTTCCATCTCTCTCTCTGCTTCTCTCCCTCCCCCCCTCTCTCTCTCCCTTCCTCTCTCCTCTCTCTCCTCCTTCCTTTCCCCCTCCTCCCTGCTGCTTCCTGTGGATGCAGTGTAACAATCTGCCACCATGCTTTCTCACCATGTGGACTATATCCCTTCAAACCATGAGCCAAAGTAAACTGTGGTGATATATTATCTATGATTTATTAAAGCTAGACTGAGGATTCAGAAAGCAAAGTCATCCCCAAGCTGCTTTGCTTCTCTGATCTTCAGCTTGAAGCTTGGACCCCAGTATCTGTCTGTGGGTCTTTTATTTATTGTGCTACATTTCCTAAGTTTGTCACAAGGAGAGAAGTAATGCAGTGTCTTTCTGTGTTCAGTTCAGTCTTCTGTGCAGAAGTGAGATGTACCTACACTGGTGATTCTGCTCTGCAGACCCTGACCTGCCCTTGCTATTGTCAGTTATTGGTGTGTATCTTCTACCTCTAACTGCAGCGTGTGCACAGTTTGTTCTTCTCGGGCTTTAATTTTCACTCCCCTGCTGGCTGCTGACCTGAGCACCTCTTTTTATTCTTCCAGAGGTAGTTCTGGCTGTCCTGGAACTCATTTTTGTAGATCAGGCTGGCCCTGAACTCATGCAGATGTGTCTGCCTCTGCCTCCTGAGTGCTGGGATAAAAAACATGTGCCACCACTGCCCGGGAGACCTGAGCACCTTTTTTGCCACCCACCTCTCTGTTCAAAGTCTTTTCTTGTTTTCTTGTTGCATTTTTTTTTTTTTTGGTTTTTACGAGACATGGTTTCTCTGTATTGTTTTTGAGGCTGTCGGTCCAGCCCAGCCTTGAACTCACAGAGATCCACCTGCCTCTGCCTCCCGTGTGCTGGGATTAAAGGCATGTGCCACCACCGCCTGGCTCTTGTTGCATTTTTGTTTGTTTTTATTTTTTACTTTTTTCTTTTTTTTTTTTTCAAGATAAAAAAAAAAACTACTTGTGTGTATGTGCGTGTGTCGTTTATGCAGATGCCAGAAGAGGGCATCAGATCCCCTGGACTGGAGTTACAGGCTTCACAGGTGTGCCTTTATCTGCCAAACCATCTTGCCAGACATATTTTCATTTTTATCCTTCCTTCCTTTCCTCCCTCCCTCCCTTCTTCATTCTGTCTTTTATAACTTGGTGGGGTAAGATCTCATGTGTCCCAGGCAGGCCTTGAACTTGGTTTTTAACTAAGGATCACCTGCCTCTACCTCTGGAATTCTGGGATTACAGGTGTACACTACCATACCCAGTTCTATGGATTGTTTCTTTTAAATTTTTCATTTAATTTACACGAACCGTCGTGGTGACACATGCCTTTTATCCCATCACTTGGGAAGCAGGCAGATCGCTTGAGTTTAAGGCCAGCCTGATCTACATAAAGAGTTCTAGGACAGCCAGGACCGCATAGTGATACTCAACGAAACAAAACAACCCTCCTCCCCGAAGTATTCATGTGTCTGCATGTGTGCCTGATTCATGAAGAGGCCAGAAACGTATCTAGATGGATCTCCTGAAACTGGAGTTAAGGGTTGGCTGTGAGCCACCACGTGGCTGCTGGGAATGGAAACCTGGCCCTCTGGAAGAGCAGCCACTACTCGTAACTGCCGAGCCATCTCTCCGGCCTCTTGTTTCCTTTCTCTTTCTTACTGGTTTTTGTTTGCTTAAGAGATGTATCTGTTCATTTTATGGGTGTGTTTGTGAACTTCACTACGTGTACGAGTGCCACATGTATGCAGGTGAAGCCAGAAGAGGGCAGCCGATTGCCTGGAGTTGGAGTGAGCTGTCTGTTGTAGGTGCTGGGAAATGAACACCGGCCCACTGCCAGAGCAGCAAGTGCTCTTAACTACGAAGACATCTCTCCATCCTGTTTGTTTTCAGACAGGGTCTCTCTGTATAGCCCCGGCTGTCCTGGAACTCACTATGTATGCCAGACTGGCCTTGAACTCACAGAGATCCACCTGCTTCTGCCTCCAAGTGCTGGGGTTAAAGGCGTGCGCCACCACCATCCCACTTGTTTGTTTTCTTATTGTCAAATTTTTGAAAGTTTTTTTTGTATACCATCTGTACACATCAATTATAGATATGTTATTTGCATTCTTTTCTTTTTTAAAAAAATATTATTATTATTATCATTATCATTTTGGGTTTTTTGAATCAGGGTTTCTCTGTGTGGAGCCTCTCCTGGCACTTACTCTGGAGACCAGGCTGACCTTGAACTCACAGAGATTTGCCTGCGTCTGCCTCCTGAGTGCTGGGATTAAAGGTGTGTGCCACCAATGCCTGTCCTTTTTTTTTTTTTAATCTTTAAAGTGTGTGTGTGTGTGTGTGTGTGTGTGTGTGTGTGTGTGTGTGTGTGTGTGTGTAGGTCCGAGGATGTCTTTGTGGAATCTGTTTCTCTATATTCCTGTGAATCCTGGGAGCTGCACTCCTGGTACCAGGGATAGCAAAGGCCTTCACCTGCAGAGCCCCCTGCTGGTCCTCCGTTTTTTGTTTTGTTTGTTTTGTTTTGTTTTTCAAGACAGGGTTTCTCTATGTAGTAGTCCTGGCTGTCGTGGAACTCAATCTGTAGATCAGTCTGGTCTCAAACTCACTGAGATTCACTCGCTACTGCCTGACCCTCCCCTGTTTTTTGAGACTGGATCATTAATTAGCCCGAGACTAATTAGGTTAGGCTGCCTGACCAACCACCCCCAGAGATCTCCTGTCTCTAGGTAACTTGTGATGGAGTTACAGGTGCGCACCTCCATGCCTGGCCTTTCAACATTTTGATGTTGCTGTAACGTGCATGGGTGTTTTGCCTTCATGCATGTCTGTGCACTGTGTGTGCCTGGTGCCCATGGAGGCCGGAAGAGGGAGTCAGATTCCCTGAAACTGGAGTTACAGACAGGTGTGAGTGCTGGGCTTGAACCTGAGTCCTCTAGAAGAGTAGCCAGGGCTCTTAAAGGTGGAGCCGTGTCTCCAGCCCCTGGCTTTTACACTGGTGCTGGGGATTGAACTGGGGACCTTATGCTTGAACAAGCACCACAACAGCTGAGCTATCTGCCCAGCCCTAGTCCTCCAATTTTAAAAAGTATTTTATTTATAGGGGCAGGAGAAATGGCTCAGCAATTAAGAATTGTTTAGGTTCAATTTAACACTGCTTTTTTTTTTTTTTTTTGCTTTGTTTTTTAAGACAGGTTCTCTGTGTAACAGCCCTGGCTGTCCTTGAACTCAAGAGATCTGCCTACCTCTGCCTCTCAGTTATGGGACTATAGGTGTGTGCTACCACTGGCTGGTTCATGCTTTTCCTTTTTGTGGTAAATTTATATTGTGTGAAATATACTATTTTAGCAATTTTAGGTCTATGTGAGTTCAAGGCCAGCCTGGTCTACAGAGCAAATGCCAGGACAGGCTCCAAAGCAACACAGAGAAACCCTGTCTTGAAAAACCAAAAGAAAAAAAAAGATTAAGAGGTGGTGGTGTCGGCACCCAGCTTTAGTCTCAGTAGTCAGGAGGCAGAGGCTGGCGGATCTCTTTGAGTTCAAGGTCACGCCCAGTGACAGAGACCATTTCGGCTGCAGGGCTCTCAGCTCCAGCACCATGTCTGTCTTCATGCCATCATGTCACTATGGTGATAATGAACTGAACTGAAAACGTAAGCTGCCCCAACTAAACGTTTTTCATTTATAAGAGTTGCCGTGGTCCTGGTGTCTCTTCACGGCAATAGAAACCCTAACTAAGACAGACGATGACACAGGAGTGGAGTGTTGCTGATAGGTCCGACCAGGCTTTCTTTTGAATGAATATAAACCCTGGGGCTGAAGATTAGAACAGCAGCTGAATGCTTTAAGTGCTGCTGAATGGGGCCATCCTAGTAGGAACACGGAAGATAGATGCTTACTGTGATTTGCACTGTGGGTGCCTGCATCAAGAGGTTTCAGAGAAGAATAATATTAATATATGGCCTAGAAATCGTTCTTGTGATATTTCCGTAAGGAATATGACTGCTTTTTGCCCTTGTCCAAAGAATTTGCCTGAGGCTAAAACAAAGAGATTTGGATTAATTCTATTGGCAAAGGAAATCTCAAAACAGCCCTTATAGACTTGGTCCTGTGGTTACCAGTGTTCATGCTTATAAAGATTTATAATGAAATGGAGCAAGCTGAGCAAATAAAAATATAAAATGTGCAGATTGAGAAAAGGGGCACCAGGAAGTGGAATGGAATTAAGTCCTGTGTTCGAGGAGATAAACATTAAGAAATGGACTAAGGGGACTGGTGACCTCCGGGCAACACCCCACCCAGCTAAGTTTCCAGTTTATGAAATGGGATTAAAAGAAAGCTTGAAGCCAGATGTGGTGGTGCACGCCTTTAGCCCCAGCACTTGGAAGGCAAAGGCTGGTGGATCTCTGAGTTTGAGTGGTGGATCTCTGAGTTCGAGGTCAGCCTGGGCTACAGAACAAGTTCTAGAACTTAGGCAGTGAAGGAAACCATGGAAACAGAAAGCTGGTTAAGATGTAGCTGTAAGAGGGGCCGTGTCCCAACCCCAGTAAGCAGCAACTGCTTACTGGCCACGTGGTTCTAGAGCTAAGGATAAAAGAAAAGGCATATGTCAGGAGTATCCCAGAATGGAGGCCTAGAGAGACTATTGCATGAAGCTGTTGTAAAGTTGAAGCCTAGATCGCCTTGGAGACCCCAAGATGTTGGAGATGCCAGAGCCGTGGGACACCTGCCGAGGATTGCTGTCAACAGGGAGTGGAACCAGCCCTAGAGAGAGATGTTTGCTGCACTCAAAGCTGAAAAGACTCCGATGTGGATGGCCCTGCTGGGACACCCCTTGGGGGAGGGGGTGAGAAGATGCAGCACCAAGGACTCAGGCCCTGGGAGTCGGTGAGTAGCGGAGCAGGCTGCAGACTCCTCTGTTAAGGAAGTTAGTTCTGCCTTTATACCATCCTCCCAAGGTTCCATTGGCTCAGGCCGCTGGCCCTGCTGTATGTGCTTTCCTCATTGGTGTCTCTAGGTCAGGTGTCTCTTTGTCAGCAGTCTCTGGGCGTAGAGGCAGGCTTGGCTCAGGGAGGAAGTATCTGCAGCGCATGTTCATGCAGACTGACCTGGGCGCCTGGACAGGGTGACGTGGGTTTGGATAGGTTGGCAGGTAGTTTCTCCTACAGGGTTGGGAGATCTGAAGAGCGTTTTGACATCAGACATGAGATAGGGAGTTTGGAGTTTGCCCAGCTGGTTTTTGGTCTTGCTTTGGTCCAGTATTTCCTCACTGTGCTCCCTTCCCTACGATTTGGCCTGATAATGTACATCCTGTGCCGTTATATGTCGGGAATATGTGATCTGCTTTTTTTGTTTTGATTTTACAGGTGATTACATTTAAGAGACTGCATGAATCTCAGAAGAGACTTTGAACTGTGGACTTCAAAGCATTGCTGAGACTGTGATAGACCATGGGGACTTTTGAAGTTGGACTAAATGCATTTTTGCATTACAATATGGCTATAAGCCTTTGGGGGCCAGGGAATAGACTGTAGTGGTCTGAGAGAAAACGGCCCCTAAAAGAAGTGACATTATTAGGAGGTGTGATCTTGTTGGAATAGGTATGGCCCTGTTGGACAAGCGTGTCACTGTGGAGGTGGTCTTTGAGGTCTCATGTATGCTCAAGCCACACCCAGTGTCTCAGACCACTTCCTGTTGCTTGCATTTCAAAGTGTAGCCAGCACCAAGTCTGCCTGTGCGCTGCCATGTCCCGCCATGGTGATGATGGACTAACCCTCTGAAAATGTAAGCCACCCCAATTAAATGTTTTTCCTTTGTAAGAGTTGCCGTGGGGGACTGGAAAATGTCTCAGTGGTTAAGAACACTGGCTGTTTCTTCCAGAGGTCTTGAGTTTAATTCCCATCAACCACATGGTGGCTCACAACCATCTGTGGTGGGATCTGATGTAAAAGCATACATGCAGATAGAGCACTCATATACATAAAAAACAAAAATCTTTAAAAAATATTTAATTAAAAAAAAGAGTTTCTGTGGTCATGGTGTCTCTTCGTGACAGTAGAAACCCTAAGACAGACTGTTACCTGAAAACAAGGATAGTATGCCTTCTTCCTTTCTCATTCTATCCCTTTTTGACTTTTTCATGACAAAAACTATAGTTAAAACTTGGAGCTAATGCTCTTATATGGAATAAGAGAAGGGAGCACGACACTGGCCTTGTCTTGCCCCTGGCTTGAGAGGAAATGTTCTCACTTTCTCTTATTTACTGTAATTTTGGCTATGATCAGGACCTTTCTACTGTAATTTTGTGGAGCAGGAGTCCCTCCAAGTATCAACAGAAGAGACTAGATGCAATAAAAAGTTTCTGCAGAGCAAAAGGAAATATCAGCAGAGGAGACAGTCCACTGAATAGAGAAAATCGTTACCAGCTGTACTTCAAACAGGGGGCTAATAGCCAAAGAACTACAAAAATTAAACACCAAGGAAATAAAGCTGCCAATCAACAAATATGCTAAGAGAGAGGTTAATGAGACAGACACTATTGTTTTTTTCCTTATTTTTTCTTTTTATTATTTTTTTCTTTTTTTTTTGAGACAGGGTTTCTCTGTATTGCTTTGGAGGTTGTCTTGGAATTTGCTCTGTAGAATAGACTCACAGAGATCTGCCTGCCTCTTCCTTCTGAGTGCTGGGATTAAAGGCGCTCGTCGCCAACACCCAACAAGACAGACACTTTTCAAAAGAAAAACCACAAATGGGCAATAACTCCTTTTAGATTTATTTTATGTGTAAGAGTGTTTTGCATGTATGTGTACCATATGTATGCCTGGTACTAACAGAGGTCAGAAGAGGGCATTGGATGCCCTGATGGGATAGTCATGAACCACCATGTGGATGCTGGGAACTAAACCCAGGTCTTCGCAAGAGCAATAAGTGCTCTCAACTTCTCAACCACTGAGCCAACTGTAGAGCCTCACTGTATTTTAAAAAGCATTTAACATAGCTAGTCATCAGTAATACAAATCACGGCTACTTTGAGATACAACCTGCAATCAGAACGGCTTCGAAGAAATCTGACAGCCGGGCTGCAAAGATGGTTCAGCAGTTGAGAGCCTGTTTTAGGTTCCTGTTGCCATGATAAAATACTATGACCCAAAGAAATTGGTGAGGAGAGTATTTGTTTGGTTCATATTTCACATTGCAGTCCATCATCAAAGGAACTCAGGGCAGGAACCTGGGGGCAGGAACCCGGAAGCAGGAGCTGATGCAGAGGCCATCGAGGGGTACTGCTTACTGGCTGGCTCCTCTTAGGTTGCTCAATTTGCTTTCTTATGTGCCTCAGGACCACTTGCTCAGAGATGGGCGGAGCCTTCCCACATTAGTTACCAATCAGGAACGCTCCCCACAGGCTTCTCTACAGGTCAACTTGACGGGAGCGTTTTCTCAGCTGAGGTTCTCTTCTCAGATGTTATTGTTTTTCTACAATGTTATTAAATCTCTCTCAGATGCCCGAAGTTCAGTCTCCAGCACTCACAGGGAGCATCTCATAAGTTTCAGTTCTGTGCTCTGTCTTAGTTCCTTTTCTATTGCTGTGATAAGACTCCATGACCAAGATGACTTATAAAAACAAGGGTTTGCCGGGCGGTGGTGGCCCACGCCTTTAATCCCAGCACTTGGGAGGCAGAGGCAGGCGGATCTCTGTGAGTTCGAGGCCAGCCTGGTCTACAAGAGTTAGTTCCAGGACAGCCTCCAAAGCCACAGAGAAACCCTGCCTCGAAAATAAAAAACAAAAACAACAACAACAACAAAAAAAAAACAAGGATTTGCTCGGGAAATTGTGGCACACACCCTTAATCCCAGAGTTTGAGCAGCAGAGGCAGGCCTAGTCTACGAAGCAACACAGAACTCTGTCTTAAAAAACAAAACAAAATAAACAAAAACCCCAAAAAATAAAAGGAGGGAAGGAAGGAGGGAGGGAGGAAAAGAAGGAAGGAAGGGAGGGAGGGAGGGAGGGAGGGAGGGAGGGAGGAAGAGAGGAAGAGAGGAAGGAAGGGAAGGGTTTATTTGGAACTGACAGTCCTAGAAGGTTAGAGTCCATCACCATCATGGCAGAGAGCATGGCAACAGGAATCCATGGTGTTGGGGCAGCAGATGAGAACTCACATCTTGAACTTCAAGCAGGAGGTAGAGAGAGCTAAACCAAATGGCCTTTGCCTAAGGCCTGATTGGTCTAATGAAAAGCCGAACAGCCAATAGCGAGGCAGGAGAGGGATAGGTGGGGCTGTCAGGCAGAGAGACTAAATAGGAGAAATCTAGGGTAAAGAGAAGGAGAGAAGAACAGAGAACAAGGGGGACACCCCAGGACCGAAGCCAGGCGGTTGCCAGCCAGACATAGAGACAGCAAGAAAGTGAGGAAAGGTCAAAAGCCCCGAGGCAAAAGGCAGACAAAGAGAAACGGGTTAGTTTACGTAAAAAAGAGCTAGCCAGAAATGAGCAAAGAGTAGGCAGAGCATTTATAACTAATAAGTTTCTGTGTCATGGTTTGGGAGCTGGTTGGTGGCCCAAAAGGAAAAGCCTGGTACAAACAGATGAATGGATAATGAAAACATGGTATACACAAAATGGAATGTTATCCATCTATAAGGACAACTTAAACCGTTAAGTTTTCCAGAGAATGGATGGACTTGGAAAGTATAATATAATAACTCAGGAAAATACCACACATTCCACCTCATATGTGGGTTCTAGACTATAGTACATAATGAATATATGTAAGCAGATATAAGTGTGGATGCAGTAAAAATAAAATTAGAAAAGAGGCCAAGGGAGGGGAATGTCACGTGATGGGAAGGATGGAGTGCAGGCAAACGGACATATGAGTCATGGAAAAAGACATAAAGCTATTTTTTCTGGTGTCAACTGTCATACTTATTTCTTTTTTGTAGTGGATAAATGAATAAACCTGAGGTTGCTGATAGTGAAATGTTAAAACCCCAAGTGAGGTTTTAGGTTGGGTTTTCTTGTCCCACATCTGCTCTCAAATAAATACACTGAGGCTTATATTAACTATAAATGCTTGGCCAATAGCTCAGGCTAATTACTAACTAGCTCTTACATTTCAAGTTAACCCATACCCCAGGTGACAGTACCTTTATTAACATGGCACGCTCATCTCCTACTTCGTGTCTGGCTGGCAACTCCAGACTCCACCCTTCTTCTTTCTTCCCAGCATTCTCCTGGTCTGGCTCTCCTGTTCAGCTACTGGCCAGTCAGGTTCTTTATTAAACCGATAATACTGACAAGTTCACTCTGTGTAAAGGAATATTCCACAACATGAGACTCCATTGCTTCAGAATGACCATGTGTAGAACCTCACTGAGATGTACAGAGTTTGGGACTGGACAAATGTTTGAGTGGTTCCTTTATTGTAACTTAAGAATACCGGTCAGTAAGAAAAAGATGCCATGCAACAGGGTTCAAGCAGATTTTTTTTTACTAGGGAAAGAGATCATAAAAAGGGGAAAGGGAAACAGGGAGACTGGATTCCGAAGACAGGAGCAGCAGGAGAGAGGAAATAGGAAGGGAGACAGAGGGGAGAGGAGGGGAGGGGAGGGAAAGGGAGGGGAGGGGGAGAGAGAGAGATAGAGGGAGAGAGAGAGAAAGATAGAGAGAGAGAGAGAGGGATGGGAGGTGGGCAGGGCCCTTTTAAAGGGGAACATAGTGAATGTGGTGGTGCTCTTAGTGGCTGCAGTTGAGGGCATATCCTGTCAGAACCCCAAGGGCAGGCCAGCACAGATGCCTGGACACTAACATCCTTAATCTAGCTGTGTGACATTTTCAGTTGTGAGTTAATTAGAATAAAGTGATTTTATGCTAAAAAGTTTAGTTTTTTCCTTGTTTGGAGATAATTTATTTTATTTTTATTGGTTTTCCAAGACAGGGTTTTGCTGTGTCGCTTTGGAGCCTCGCTCTGTAGACCAGGCTGGCTTTAAACTCACAGAGATCCACCTGCCTCTGCCTGTGGAGTGCTGGGATTAAAGGCGTGTGCCACCACAAATTTTTAAGCCTTTTAGTGGTTCAAAGGTTAAACCTTATCTAGAGGCATGCAGACTCAGAAAGGTTTTATTCTCTTTCCACCCGGAGGCATCAGCAAACATGAGAGCCACGTAAAGTCTACTAGGCTACTCCCTTTCTGTTAATACCGCTCTTTAATGAAGGTGGTGGTTCAGGGAGGCTTCCTGAAGCACTGTGAAGACAGAATGTGCAGACTCTTACCTCGGTTCAAACTCAGACTTTAATCCTTTCCCTGAAGGGCATGGATGACTAAAGTAGTTAATGTTTTCCTTTCTAGGTAACATGAGTCATGAGGTCCCTGAATATTTTTTTTTATTGGTCTGCTTGGGGCAACAGAATCTTGGCTTCTCTGAGTCTGCCCACCAGTTTTGGTCTCCCTTCACTGTGGGCCCTCCTCTTTCCCGTGTTTCCAGGGACAGTGTACTAGAGCCCTCTGTGCTGGTCCCTGGAGACAGATACACCTGTCAGTATGTCACCCTGAGTAATGCCAAGAGATAAGGTCTTAGGTCCATATTTAACCAGATGACTTTCCCTGTTAAAATCCTCTCTTTGGGGGCCAAGGCAATCTCTTTGAGATTGACTGTGTACTGTTCTTGCAAAGGACCTGAGTTTGGTTCCCAGCACCCACATCAGGTAGCTCACAACCACCCTAGCAGATCTAATACCCTCTCTGGCCTCAATCAACACATGCTCCCACACATATATAATTAAAATAAGAAAATATCTTTTTAAAAATCCTCATTTTCTATAT